CAAATGATTTCAGTGCTCGTGAAGACATTGATTGCCTAAACTTTCTTATAATTTCCATAAATACCAATTACATTACAGTCAAGTAAATTAAAACTTTTTAAATTATCTGCTAATAATACAGTTCTATGTAAAAACTGTCTTATCAAACTGTAACTGTTAAATTATCATTAAAGTCATATTTTAACGGGTAATTACAGTTAACTATTGTTTCTTCAACCTTTCATTAGTTTAATGTGAATTCCTAAACTTAGACTCAAAATAGAGAAAACAGTTTTGTAGATCAGTTGTAAACTAATATGGACTAGATAACTCGTACATCTAATAGTAACTTCAATTAACCACTTATTATCAAACTCTTTTTGCCTCTTAATGCTCTATATCTTTATATCAACAATCCCTTATCTGATAAAAAATCCTTTTCACAGTGGAGCAACTAGTATTACCCTAATTATATATATAAGATGTAATGAAACATAATTCGAATGAATTCGCTAAAACAAATTACACATCTTACATGTTAATGATTAATCTGCTAGAGATAGTTGACCACTATGAAATAATAGAGGTTGACAAATTCGTATATAATACTTCATATTCCCAGTGAACTATACATTCTTTAAAGATTAAGTTATTATCAGTAAACAGAAAATACAAACTAGTTAAATATTGTCATGACGACTACAGTAGTAGTATTCTTGTCTAGTTCCGTAAAAAGCAAGCGATTTTATCCGAATTCGAATTTATATCTTGAGCATTAAGAATATGCATAACTATGCTTTATAAAATGTCGAATAAACCTAACATAATCTGATCATTTGTTATTAGTAATAAAATTAGACTGGAATAAAACAGAAAAAGAAAGGTTCACTTCCTGGATAGTTAAAAACGAATCCCCAAATTAATCATTTTTATAAAATATTACATTGTTGATTTCGAAATACCTAATTAAGTTACATTCATTTGTCTAAAATGTTGTTTGAAAGTAAAGCTTTTAAAATGCTTTCCTAATATGGATTAGTGTCTTTTGAAGGATCGAAGTAAAACCTCAGATAAATAGAAAGACGTTATTCTGTCTATTTTATTAAGTAGCTTGCAACATATGTTTAGCTTGCTCATTAATTTTCCTCTTAAACTAATATGGATAACAATCATTCTGACAGTTATTTCTCAAGGTGAACTTCCTATAACGTGACGTATTCATAGCTTATCAGTCAAAGAAGCTATGGACTTATCTACTGGATGTTACTTTGCACTAAGTTTTAGCATTTATAGCATTTCTTATTGACTGACATTGAGTAATAGGTGTTTTTACCTATTATAATGAAGTTTCACAGGGTAATTTTCCTTCCATTTTAGCGACATTATTTCATATCTAAGTAAACAGATTCAAGAAATGGTATGAGACGTAAGTCACAATCTCATCTCTATATTGCAGACATAAATAACTAGATACTTTAATAAACTTTAAACTCATTAAATATTGATCATCATAGTTACCGTGACTGAGATTAAGAAAAATGTGGTAACTATGGTACCGAAAGGGTAAATAATTCTAATACTTTTGTAATTGAATAGGAAGACAGGTGATTTATATTACATTAAACTAAGTTCTTATTTATTTTCATATTAGAAATAAGCTCTACTGTCGATTTATTTCAGACAACACTGAAAATGTCAGTGCAAGGTTAGAATACTATCAAATAGCTAATGAACATTTAAAACCCTTTCTGGTACTATACGTAATATATGCAAGTATATCACGAAAAATAACGAAACTATTTTAAAGAATAGTTCGTGTTTTAATGTAACTGTATTTCATGTTCAATATTAAGGGTAATGTGAGCATACGCTGTGTATTTCCCTTACATGTGTTCTAGAGTTGTGATAAAAGTAACAATTTCCTATTGAATCAGTGGTCACAGATTACGTTTACCTACTTAGATTAAAAGCATTTAAGCTTAAAATTTACGATACATCATAAAGTATCTTTAGGATCTGAATGTTCAAACTTACGACTAAAGTATTTAGACGATGAGTTCCAAGCAGACAAGAAAAGTAAATACCTCTGTTTAAAGGTAAAAACCTTGTTTGTTTTTTTATTGATATATACACTGGTGAAAACCTGTGTTCAATGTAACCATTATCTCCATAAATACACTGGCAAAAACTTAATTCGTCTCTGTCAAGTATGGAACCACCTTCGAAGTAATTAGTATACCGGACTATTTATTTTATTTGGACAATCGACATATACTACAAAACAAAGTATGCAAAACTAGGAGTGTACATAAACTGCATCACCAAAGTTAGACAATAATTTCAGATAAATTGGACAGAATAATAATAATTATGACATATATGTGATATTCCAATGACTAAAAGCTAGAATTTTTAACGTCCCTTGACCTAGTGTAAGCCACTTCTTCAGAGTAGAGAAACTAATAACCAAACCCATTCAGCACAAGTTTAAATATTAAACAATCCAAACTTATTGAGACATTACAAACATCATTATTTTATTATTAGGAGTGCACGTATTCATCAACAAAAAATAATCCCACTTTGATATAAGACTCTCTTGTTTTAATTTATCAGTTCTGAAAACAAATTTAAATACTCGTAAGTCACATTTTAAACAATTTTTTGGTTTAATTACTGTAAATACTATCTGTTCCAAGTATGTGTCTTGTTGACTTGATTGTTTGAGAGTAAACATTTTAATTGATGCCAAAAGACCTTATCTAGCTGGTAACCTAATATATAATTTGTGCCAACCTAATAAATTTTCAATTAATTATCCATAAAATTGTATCCCTAACATAACTTTACATCCGGTAATACAAATAAGCACGTATGCTAATTCGTTTGGTCTTGTTGCTAAAGTCACAACATATTAATCATCTGAAAGTCATTGAACTTGATCTCTCAGTTCCTGTTCTTGATATAAATTAATTGTGAAATGAATCAGTAGTATAAAGCATGGTAATGAATTGAAATTACAGCAATCCAGATCTGGTAAAAATTCAGTTCCAGATATGGGTGTGTCACACACCAATCTTCATTTGTTAATATTGTTATTAATTGTGAAGTAGACAGGTATTTGTATACTTGTTATTTAACATGTTCACTACAGTCCATTTCCTTGCTTATTTACTCTGTGCACATCTGGTATTTTTTATCGTTTTCACTTGTATGACTTCTTCATGTTATTGTGATCTTATTAGTTTGACGTAAAAATGTTGTTGAGTAGTAATTAAAGTCGTATGGTCTTGGGCTTATTTTGCTAGACTGAACGCCAATTTTAGGTTTCAATGTACATGATTCTGAGTGACTAGTTTCTTCCGGTTTTTTGCTTGATAGGTTGTTGATCAAACGGTCCAAAACCTCATTTTCTGATAGAATATGTAGTGCCAGCACCAACTTATGTCGTACATTAGGTACAGTAGGATAGTTCATTGATAAATATAGCTTGTAGACCTCAGAAGCAAATTAATTACATCCATAGTAAACTATTTTTATGGAGTATCTATCATATGGTGATTCTGTTGCGGAAAACTTTAGAGATAGTGATAAATAATAAGTAAGCAACTATATATCTTCAACTGACAGAAAATAACTTCACAATAATCAGTAATTTAAATAGGACTGAGAGCTAGGTAAAAACTACATTTTCTTAACACTCATTTAGTCGCTGTGACGATGATAAGACTATCGATCCCTTTAATCTGTTGGTCTTCATCGATACGTTTTATGTCTAAAATGTGAGGAGCATAGTTCTAAACTTCAATTGCCCGTCTGATAAGTGAGGCAGTATAATATTACTCCCAACAACCAAGTTCGAAACCACATCACTTGTTCTCATGATGGATTACATGATTTATCTTCTTATTTTATTTTCCCTAATATATCAGGATGAAGAGAATATTCTATAAACTAAACTATAGTTCCTCAATAGTAGTAGTATTATTAATCAGAAATTCTTACATCTCTTACAAGTACTCTTCTGAGTAAGGTGATTCATTGGTAGTTAATTAAATAATTACCAATATCATAAAGCTTTTGCTTCAGCTTACCCGACGTATTGTTCGTTTTCTCAACAAAAGTGGTTATAATTGCACAATAAATGCCGTTCATATAAATGTACCCCCCCCCAGCAGTACGAGCAATTGAATAATGTGCCTACAAACATTTAGGTTTCTATGAAATAATTCACCACAGAAAGCCAAAACAGAATGATCGCTTGAAAATGACCAACCAACCAAATTGAAATAGTTAACAATATTTAAAACCTTCAGACAACATTTTCACTAAATATTTGGACAACTTTGTTTACACCATGATACTATGAGATCAATATTAACCTATATAATAAGTGTCGCTCATTAATTTTACCATATAAATTTCATAGCAACAGGAATTTTAGCTATGAATGTGTAAAGTTTTCATTTCGATCCCAGAATCTTCTATGAGAGAGCAAGACTTCTCAAACTAAGATCATTCGTCTTCTTTATTTTAAAATCATTAATTTCTCTTGAAATAATAGTTTTTTCTCCATGAAAAAAACAAGTAACTTGCCACCATAATATTAATAACCATTGTGTACTATAGAAATTGACGGTTTAATAAGTTTCCTGATTTTTAATCTCTTACTGTGATAAAAACTTGAAACCCATCAGTGTTGAATACAGAAACCGGATTTCTTCCGGGCTATAATCGGGTAATCTTGCGTGGTTGAAAATAAATCTCATTAGCTAAATGATTTTGTGGATATATAAATATGATATACAACCAAATCCTTCCTTGGACCAAGAGACTTGAAGCAATTTAAAGTAAATCTGAAATATAAACAATTTTTCGTTTGATTCATAGTAGGTCGACAGATTTTGTAGAGTCATTATAAATGCGTGTTTCACTTCTTACAATTTTTCTCCACCAAAGTGCAAAGTAATTCTATTTTCTTTTCAGTTCCAGATTGACAGTGTAAAACATAACAGAAATCGCCAAGAAGTAACATCGTTCTGGAAAACACTAATTACCAAGTGGATAGGGTTTAGAGTCAGAATTATTCTATTTCTTCACTTATTTCTGCCTAACTTGAACTTTAATAATGAATTTTTTTGAATATCTTCAATATAAATGCTATTACTGTTCAGTCTGTATGGCTTTCGTACATTGTCCTGTTTCATAAATGTCAACAGGGTTTTCTGAGAATCCAATTAGTGATAATGATATTGTAGAATCTAGTCATTCACCTATTGAAGAGACTGATTTCACTCAGCAGTCAACATCACCACCATTAGGAGACAAAACAACACAACAATCAACTCCCCCTCATTCATCATCGCCAATACTACAACCAACAGCAACAATACTAACTGACACACAAGCAGAAATTCAAAAACCGGAAGAAACTCAACCTATTCAACCAGAATTTACTGAGATAATAACAGACAGAAATAAATTAGAGCATTGTGTTGAGTTAGACTCCTCAACTAATTTTGTGTCAAAAGAATCCAGTCTAGATAGAGAAAATTGTGATAACAATATGACGAATCAAGATGACAGAGGAAATATATCACCTAACTGGATACCTGAGCAACACTATAATGTTTATACATGTTCTACTACGACGCCAAGTTCACAAACGGTTTTACGGCTGAAGCAATATTATACGAGTTTAGAAGAGTCAACAAAGCCATGTGAAACTAAACTTACAGAAACGAACAATAATAATAGAAATAGTCGTAATGGAAGATCACTCCGCAAATTAAGACGCAATACATTTGAAAGATCATCACACCGATCAAACTCAAAAAATAATGGAGAACAAGCTGATCACATCGAAAACTTCAGTTCATTTAAAGATGAAAAGGTAAATACATCTGTAGAAGAAATGCGTAAATTGTTTGAATCTGGTCGCTTTACCGATCATAATAAAAAACAAACGGTAGCTGAAACAGTAGTGACATCAAAAGAACAAAATGAGAAATCTAATGATTTAAATAGTTCCAAACCATTTAAAGTGATCAAATCACTTCCTGAGAATACCGTAGAATTTCATTCGCGTCCGCCAAAGTTTCGGACTCCTAGTCCTAAACCTTTTAATCTACCGACACCACCTCCACTACCTCTACCACCAGCTATTGAATCCGTCAACAAATCTTATGAGATTAATGGTGTTACTAACAATAATATAAGTAGTACAAATAAAGTAAGGAATAAAATGAAATGTAAAAATAAAAATTATTCATCCTGTTGGAGTCAACCTGCTAAGCCAATATTATCAATGAGTTTACCATTTCGCTCACGATCTTTGGCGATTGACAGGAAATCAGACCTAACTCATGGTAACAGAGGAGGTTCTTTATCTCGTTATCGTGCTTGCTCAATTACTCAGCGATCACTATCACCATTACCCAATACACTATCCTTTAAGGATGATCAGATTGATAAGGCAGCTAAAACTAATTTCTCAAAATCTTCAGATTTAAAATGTTCGAGATTAAATAATTTTACTGACACTAATACTAAGAATACAGAGTTCGGAAAACAGGAGTCTAATCACTCTACAGTCCATTGTAATGTCTGTAATGTCAAGCCTGATCAAATCGTTTGTATGAATCCTTCATCTACCGATGGTGTGTATGTTAGATCTGCTGTAGTCTATGAGCGTGTGAATGGAAAACCTCTTTCGAAGGAGCCCAAAAACTTTATTACGACGTATGTAGTATCTAAGTGGCCAAGTCCAAGTCAAGCAACTGTTCAGGCTACAAATTTATGGGTTGCAGAACAGTCTCTGCAACAATATGACCAGAGGTTGCCTACACCTTACAGAACACAAGCGTTGTCAAAACTCAATACTACAGCTCAATCTAGTGAGTCGAAAGAAATCCAGTTATATCATAGTAGTCCAGTCGATAATCTAGCCAAGCCGAAAAAAAATACTATACAGCAAAAAGATCGGAGTTTGGTAGTTCAGCCAAGAATTAAATTTGATCAGCATGATCATACACGTACATTCACTCATACTAGGAATAGATCTTTGTCTCCACAACCGTTACCCACTCCACCTTCAACTGAATTACACCCACATATATTACGTTGTACTAGTGGTCAGTGCAGTCCATCCCATCAAAGTCGTATATCCCAATCTTTCGTGGATAAATCCAATAATCTAGATAAAGTGCAACGATCAACATATCACAGACCTTATTTAAGTCGTTCGTGGTCAGTAAAATCACTATCCCCACCACCACCTTTCCGAAGTCAGTGGCTTAGTTCTATGAGTGCATCAAGAAGCAGACAGAAAATATTTGATAAATTTAACAGTTTAGCACGTGATATGCATCCCAGAATCAATGCAGAATCATTTTGTAAACATCATAGAGGTCGGGAACCAAACCGAATAATAAACTGCACCAAACACAGAAGTTGTATTGAGTCATACCGCAGGGAAAGCGCAAGACGTTTACGAAACCATGAAAAGAGGGATTGGGTAAAACGAGCAGAAGAAATCAGTGATGATAGACAAAAATACCATGAACTTAGAGGAAGTTGGTCGCCACCAGTTATGCGAAGTCCACCAAATGCAACACCAAATAATATGGAGGAACGTACGGAGAAGGAAATTCAGCGATACATAAGACAGCATTCCCCCCCAGCTCGGTCCCCTCGTGTCTCAATTCCTAGGTATTCATCTTATTATCCACAAGAATATGTCAAATCGTTAGATAAAGGCATACAGTGTGACAGTGTTGAAGCAGGAGGATGTGCGTATCAAGCAATTGATAAGTATGCTGATGACTGCATAGACACTACCCCAATCGCAGAAGATTTTGATAAAAAACGTGCATATTTTGAAGAGTTGATCAAAATAAATAGAAACTTAGCTCAGTGTTCATTTTGTAATGACTAGGGGTTTTGTTTAATACTGTCATATCTAATAAGATGTTCAAGAGTAATATCAACTTTCGCGTCGAAACAATTTTATATCATAAGTCATCACGATTTATTGTGCAAACTCAAAACGAATTTAAGGTTATATCATAAGTGAAGTTCCAACTTAAGCTTTTAATATATTAAATCATTGTCTAACGAAGTCATTTACTGAAGCAACACAAAACTATAAATAATCGCTTTTCCAAATAGAATTATTATTTGTTTTAGACACATTATCTCAGTCATTTATTCCCCTTTGGTATGTCTACTACTTGAGTCCGTTTGCCTTCAGCTGACGTTGATGATAAATTTAGGGTCAACAAGTAAAAGATCCTTGAAGTAATGTTTCTCAAAATATATCTTTCCATTTCCACTTGTTCCGTAAACATTCTCAGTCTTAAAGCACTGACAGTCATTTCATTTTAAAAATTCATCATTATAAAGTATATTGTGAAATTGTAATAAAGCTACTTATATTTGAAATAAACATTCCTAACTTTGGTAACAAGCTTTCCTCCGCACAATTTTGGTCATAGATGAACTCACAGTATTAATCTGGTTGTTCTGTATATTATAACTTAGTGTATATATATCTATTACCCAAATAAATGATTGATAAATTCATTATCCAGATATTTTTTTCTTTTCCTCAGCTTTTAATTCATTTGCTGCTCTGGGACATTCGATCAGCAATTTTTGTATGGAACTCAAGGATCGATTAATTTGAAAGCTTTCGTCTCAGTATGCATATAAATGATTTACCAAACAGAATTAAGAAACTCTTGTGGCGTGAATAAAATAGGCAGTTGGGGTTTAATAATTGAGAATATGTAATTTTTATAAGCTGATGAAGTATTCTATGTATCTTGATATATTTTATACGATATCTCTCAGTCCTGGCTGAACACTATCAAATAAAATATTCAGAATGAATAATTAAGTTGATATTACAACTTTTTATATGCAGTACTAAATAGATAAAGTGGAAAGAACAACGAAGTGAAACAAATTTTCACCCATGGACAACATTTTTACTTTGAAGAAATCAAATAAATATAACCTATGTGACGTAATGTTGAGTTACTGATCATAAAACACTTAAGCGTTAATGAGGTATAGGAAAATGAAGATTAAATCAAAACGATATCTCTTGCAATCTCATTATTCTAATGAATATAAGAGAGAGAATAGTTTTAATTCAGTAAATGATCTTTACGGTTTTACTCAGAAGGTAAACTGGTCATGATGATGTGGTCATCAGTAATGAGCGAACTACGTGGAGGACTAAGTTACATGCATCAAACAAAGTCAGACTAAGAATAATGGACTAACTCACTGGTAAAAGACAAACAGATAAGATTTGATGTGTATAAAACATATGTTTGTATTAACATAAAATACAATAAGCAAAGGTGGAACTAAATAATTATTTTGTGAGGTCTGATATTTCTGTTCCAGGTGTTACATCATTGAAATGTATCTGTCGCACAGTTTTATTTTACGTAGATGACTGACGACTCAGGTATTCGATAAGTAGTGTAGCTAATTAGAGAGTTTAATTCAAAAAATCTGTACTTGTATATTTATATGTTTATTCGATACAGAAAATCTCCGTTGCTGTGTAACTTTCAGCAAACTTGTAACTTATGTGTCACACTTTTTCTTGATACTTCTAGTAATCTTAAGATACTCTTAAATGATTAAGAGCAGTTGTAGCTCAGGTGGTTTCTTTTGATCGTGCTGAGTTCTCTAATCTAGATAGTTTTAAATGAAGTATTTGCTGAAAATGTCCAAAATGATTATGAAAGTTCCTCAGTTAATTCATCTATCTCAGAGAACTCAACAACCCGGAGAAATTTTCAAAATATTCAAAGCTTTTTAAAGTTATATTTCCAAAGCATAACACTACAGTAGTATAAAGATACTTTGTGATTGTATTACCTACCGCCTAATAAACATATAAGAATGTATAGATGGAAAAAGCTACTGGTTACGAGTAAATTACATTTCTTATCGGAGGTGATTTTGGACGCTTTAGTCAGCTACTTTTAGGAAATTTGTCTAAGAGAATACTGATGAATTGTTTAAAACATTCATGGACCGTTAAACAAGTTAACAAAGCTTTGATTATAATAAGTATCCACAGTTGTTCTGCTCATTTAGACCTTAACTAATGGTTACTTAATAAGTTCTCCTCTCTAATTCAATGTTTAAGCTTCCATTAGTTTAAAATTTATCAGCTGCTAATTCCATTTTCAAGCGATTAATTTCCCTTGGCTTTTTAAAATAAATCTGTTTGGGAGAATGTAATGAACAACAAGTGGACTGACACAAACCCATACTATCAATTTTTTAAACTGAAAGTACATGATATTTAGATCTACCAAGCAATGGAAACAGTTAAGATATAAGATCACGAGGACATTGTAAAAAGATGGACAAATTTCACTTCTCCATCAAGAACTCACTTAGCTGAACAATAAGGATTTCGAAGTTAACCCTAAATCTGGTCAAAAGTTATTGTCTAATACTCAGTACTTCAAACTCTTATTGAACGAATGAATGTATTAGGTTGGAATTTAGGAGTTATTGTAGTTACCATAAACATACCTATTTTGGATGAAATTAAATGTTGGTTTTATGTTGTTAACCAAACTAGTCTTCAAATGACTAATACAGTCAAATTAGGACTTCTAGAACCTTCGAAATCCAGTGACTTAAAACAAAATTTGGGAATTTGAAAGCTGTTGATTATTTCATTTTTATATGAGTACCACACTTTGAAGATGACTCCTAATGTTCTGAATTTCTCAGTACTTAAGATTGCCATTTCGTTACAATCAGTGAAATGACAATAGCTGTCAACGTAAAATTAAAACCAAAAATTTCATACTGTAGTACATAACAGCTTTCAGTTGCTTATCAATTTATTATTGTAGGGCTAGTGAACTACATGATTTTTGGCAGACGCGTTAAATATGCTTGCACTAAGAAGTATTTTTGTCTAATATAGAATGCTCCTTAAAGTCAGTAAACTATTCCTTTAATGAAATGATATCCCTATTCTAAAGGGTTTTCCTGGAGGAATAACCTAGACGAAAGAATGGACAGTAATTCATGCAGTTGATAATTTTTGCTCAGTTCTCATTCCTAGTACAGCTGTAACCAATAAATTGGACTCCTGATTAGTTTTTAAATATTACAACAATACAATGATAAAATATACATAAGGTGAGGAATGTATTAAAATTGATTGTTACTTTTGTTCTGAAGTCATTTCCAGAGTTTCAGTTGTTACCGTTGATCGGCAATAAAACTTATGTGACATGAAATTAATCGCCAATATGTTGGTTAAAACAAGCGTATTTAGTAAATCCCTTTACACTGAACAGTGTTGAGTTAGATTAATTAAGAAAGGCTTGTTAGCTATTCATCATCAGTGTTGTGGGAAAAAATTAGCTGTTCAAATCCTGAATATTATAAATATTTTCCTAGATGTGAAATAGTGATACTAGTCATAGCTGTCTGTGTAGAAACAAATTACTACACTCTTTGAAATATCTGTCTTGGCAATCATATAAAGAAAATATGACTAGGGTTTTCCTAAAAAATAAAATAGATTATATATTCATTAATAAAACAAGAGGCCATGACTCACTCAAAATTTCTCCATGATTACAAACGTTTCTTTCGCATTCCCATACTGGTCATTCTACTTATTTATTAATTGAATGTGAATTGGAATACCAAATGAAATTGCTTAACAATATGTCATAGTTAATTTCTCATGAGAATAGCACACAGCCAAATCAAAATTTTTATAACCATTACATTACTTATTTTAAACACCTGACAGGAGTTTATTATATAAATATACCAATATCATCTATCACGAAGACATTTTTTTACCTAAACTAATATCAAGATATATTAAAAACCTACTTATAAGTAGTAAACAGTTTTTCGTAAAAACATAATGCACACAGGTAGGTGGAAAAAAAATACGAAATATCCCACTGTTTCACATATGAAGCATATTTAAACATCTGAACAGTAGGAGAATTTTTAAAGGCCAAACAATAGCCAAGTGAACGTTTTGAAACAAATTTTTTTTCTTCTATCCCCACTGTCATTCAAACGTGGTCCGACAGAATACAAGTCAAATTGTAGAATCCCATTTCATAATCTTTAAAATTCGTTGGGTAGGAAAAGATCTAGAATTTTTCGTTAGGAACATGTGTTAGCTATATTAGTTTATTAAAGAATTTACAACTATTCAGTTACCGAAATAACAATGTAACTGTTAATTATCTTGATCAGGAATATAGTTGCTTACAAAATGAGAGAAACAAGATTGTCTCCGGCACTTAGATCCTCAAGAGTACTGACAAAGATTTTACAACATCCCGGTTAAAATATTGCGCCTAAATGGATTTATTGTTTAAGAAGTGTCATTCATCACTGACCCTATCATATATATACCAACAATACATTTCGTAGTGTCTTACATTTAAATGTTTTTAATTAATGTTTAGTAGAATGAAAAGATGGATTTCGCCAGCTGAATATACCTGCATTCCAGAGTTGTTCACTCCGGGACTCAAACCCAGAACCGTTCACTTCAAACGCCATCACGTTATCCATTTAGCTAACGAGTCCTGATCCCCAACTGCTCGTGCAATGTGGTTAAGTTTAAATTCACTTAGTGTTGCTTGCTTCTATCTTCCCATTGTTGCTTAGGATTGCGATTGATCGGTCTCTTGTTAGCATATGTGCTTCCTGTGAGGATCGCCCCGCTTCATCTTAGTCTACATAAACGTTCGGGCCACCTATTTTTCAATTGTGCTAATAATGCAAATAATGATCAATTGTTTGCCTAGTCAGACTAGTAAATAGTCTGACAGGTGTTAGATTGGTTATATATTTTCACACCCCTATTATTATTACTGTTATTATTATTGTTGTAATTGTTGTGCG